TTTAGTTTGTATTAGTTTTTATTTCAGTAATAAAAATCCTTAATAAAAATTATAGACTTAAAACAACAGAAAATATTAAAAAAATCAATCTTTGCCTCATGCCAACTAAGTAGTAAGGTAGGCACAAATAGAAACTACTTCAAGAGGGCATTACATATACCAGGCATGCCTACCAAGAAGTTCCTCTTTATTTATTTCACTGAACTGTATTTATCTCCCCATATAACATTGCCTGAAACTTCTGCTTTCCTGCACAACTTTTAATCTTTCTTTTGAAATCAGAGAAATCTAGAAAGATTGTATAGTGGGAAATATAATCCTGTTGAGGAGATTCACAGAGTCCCATCTTGCTCATAATGATAAATTAATGGATTGCAACACTAAATAATACAAAAGTGATTGACCAATAACTTTGCAATGTAAAGAAATGTAACACATAGAAATCTGGTATGTCAACCAACACAGGTTTATCTTACCATCCACATATAAGCCTCTGGGGGAAAAATTTTGTTGTGGTTCTCATTCTTCAGGAGTGTTCTTCCAAGAGATATACATTCTTGAATCAGTTTTAATCTTGAAAATTTATGAGGGGCCTCAAGATATGATAAGTGGTCAGCAACCAAAATTAATGGTCTACACTTGAAGTTAAGGACCACTTCTTGAATATTACAGTGCATGCTTAACATATGGCTACTTCCGGCATCAGAGAACTGTCAAAGAGTTCTGCAAAATATTTGCCAGCTGTCAACTCCTTAGTTGCATACCGTTGCCTGGAAACTAACCCTCTTGGTTGCATCTTTCTGACAGGCACTTTATTTCCTTCCAGATACACATGACATGCTGATACCTAGATACACATCTTTTCTTTATTTGATATTCTCAGCAGGGAAATGCTTGGGCCAATTTACAGTTTGAAGATTGAATGGGTAATAAAAACATTATTCAGTGAAGCACAAGAGTTCTGCCACTGTCCCATATTTTCAGATATCAAAGGCATATTTTTAGGATGACTTTTTTGGCCCAGAAAAGGCTTTTTATTTCTCTTTTGGCTTAACTGAACTGTGCAGAGGTCAATGCAAGATTGGCTTTGACACACATAGACTTTGTGTTAGAATTTACAATGGCTATTTCTATTTCATTATTTTCCAATTTCATAGTATCATGCTTTCAATCAATCAGCATATAAATCTTTTTCTGATTCAAAGACACACACATCTGAGCGCAGGTGCCAACTTGTTCTCTAAGTCCATCTGCATTTAAAAGGCCACTCTTTTGAAGACAGGAAAGTCCACATTTTAGACACAGAAGACCGCTGGTTTGAAAGAGGGGTCAAAGAGGCCATCTATGTCAAAATCGAACAGCCCTTTCTCAACAGAGGGGAAGAGGTACGACATCATCTATCTCCAGTCTACAAGATAATCCTTTCAGCAGTTCCAAGAAAGCCCCACAAACATTTGCACTACTCAGATGACCCTGAAGACACAGATAAACCTGCAAGTGGCCTCAATGACTCTCTAAAAGAATGCAAACGACCAGCTGTCTGCAAGGAATAGAAATCCTTCCATTCCTCACCATCCAGGCAGAGCTGAAGAAGCTTCTTGGATGAGAAATGAAACGTCTTCAAAGAAAAACAAGAAAATCCGGTCGCCTCTTGAAAAAGCACCTTTGGGACGTCTATGTTAAAGAGACAATGAGATCCCATTCTTTTCCACTTTATAAGTTGCAGCTGTGTGAAAAGATGGCTGCGTATTTTCTGGTTCATCTAATGCAATAACTGATTTGTATCTGATAAAATGGATCAAAACCATTTGGGTGGGATTCAGCCAGTTCGCATCAGTTTGGCAGAACCGGTAGGTAATTTTTTGTTGCCCAGGCCCAGAATTGACTTCTGGAAGCAGCATCCACGCAGATAATTCACATATTTGAATCCCACCACTGATCAAAACAATTTACTATGCTAGGAAGAAAAATACCATCACCAAAATCACTGAAAACTATGTCCACCATCATCTTGCTGTGCTGACAGCAATATAATATAACTATTTTTCTCTCATAAAGGATCAATTGGTAAGCTCTCTCTCATGATGTCCTTCTCAAAATGTGAAATTTAAGCTCATAAGGAGAATACTATTATAAAGTCTTTGCTGAATGAAGGGAGATTTGTCTCTTTTTTTAAAAAAATCCAAAATCAAATAATTTCTGTAATATCTGCAGGCTATTTATGACAAAATAACCGTACTTATCCTGATGCTATGGAAGAACTCAGCTAGGACGAAAAAGGAAATATTCTTAATCCTGTTTTTTTATGATGAAAATAAACTCTTCCTCTTGAAGATTTCTTTTAATCTAAGCAAACTTAAGAATCCATACTTTTATCCCCGTAATGGAGGACAAATTGACAAAGAAGACAGATTTGGTTAGATTATCAGAAAAGAAGTTTAAAATTTCAGAATCCTGCATTCTTATTTAAGCCACCGATTGTTCAGCTCCTGTGCAGCCATTTGCAAAATAAAACAAAGCTCAATGCAGGATAATTTATAATTCTGAGCTGCATCCTAAGGCGGACTATTATAATAACTTGCTTTTATTTTAAAGCTGTTTTAACAGATCACAAAATGTATGCTTTGGATGGGGAGATTACATTCTTTCAGGAAAAGTTAATCTTCACTCTGTCTAAAATGCATTGCCAAGAGGTAATAGTATATATTTGCAGTGAAACTCTTTCATGTAAGAGATAAGGAATACAGGGTGTTTGGTTTTTGTTTTTGTTTTTTGTAATACAGTAAGTTTGCAGTCCTTAGCTCTAAAAATGGTCACTTTTACTTACAGTATATTATGATGCAACTGCATACAGTTAACCTAAAACGCATTAAAAAGAAAGCAATATGCATCTTGAGTCCTTTCGGACATTCCACGTGCCCTGAATTCCTTAAAGTTGGCAACTCTTTTTCAGCTGAGGGCTGCATTCCCTATGGGTTAAACAACTGAAAGAAGCAAGGTAAATGGAGTAGCACAAGTGAGTGAAGCCAGAACAAAAATAGGATAAAAGCTCCATTCTTTTTCTGCCTCTGCTTATACTATATAATCTTAGACCTCTTCCAATTGTGAAGGTCAAGAAATGACCTTTCCTGTCAAAGGACCATACTTATCTAACATGACAGAGGTTGTTGAACTAGGCTGCTCGCCCTGGTTATTGGACAGTAAGACTGAAACATACCCCCGTTTCAAGAAATGTACCCCAAATTTATTTACAGTCTTGCCACTGGTACACAGGTAATCCTCAACTTACCCCAACTTTATGTCACTAAGTGAGAAATTTATTAAGTGAGTCTTACTCCATTTTATGACTTTTCTTGCCACCGTTGCTAAGTGAATCACTACTGTTGTTAAATGAGTAACATTGGCTTCCCCATTGGCTTTGCTGGTCTGAAGGTCGCAAAAGATGATCACATGACCCCAGGACCCTGCAACTGTCGTTAAGGATGAACCAGTTTTCAAGTGTCCAATTGTAAATCATGTGATCTTGGGGAATGCTGCAGTGCTCATAAGTGTGAGAAATGGTCATAAGTCAGTGCTGTTTTTCAATGCTGTTGTAACTTTGAACAGTCACTAAATGAATTGTTGTAAGTCGAGGACTACCAATACATTTCCTAAATGAAGGGAAGGTCCAACATATGTAACCAAAAGCCAATAGGTCAAATGATGACAAGAGTAGGTTCCAGTAGGACAACAAAAATTATGTCCTACTAATCTAGCTCTTTATTTCATGAAGCTAGGGCAGGGTTTTCCAACCTTGAGAAATTAGATATGTGGACTTCGACTGCCAGAATTTGAATTCTGGGAGTTGAAATCAATATATCTTAAATTTCCCAAGATTGGGGAACACTGAGCTAGGGCGCAGCTATAATAACCTTACATTCTTATTCTCTTATCAGTGCAATGTTTGGAAACAAAATTATAATCTAAGCTTTAGTTGCATGTTTCAGCTTGACATAAACTCTTCTTTGTCCCTTGAATAAGCTTCCACTGCTTTCAGCATATTATCTTTCTTCCCAGATAAGACTACAAGATTTAATTTCATCTTTCTGCTTACTGATTAATACTGTGGAGAGTCATGGTTACTCTTCAGCTTTTTTGCTATATTCAGCTAGAATCATCTGATATTTTCAACATCACTGAAGGAAGTTTTAAAGAGAAATCTGTGAGGTCCTTGGTGCTCTCTGAGCTTAGTGGTTTTCTTGCAGACATTTCATTACCCAAAATCATCAGTGCCAAGAAGGGGGCGGGATTTGTTCTTGTTTTTATATACTAGTGAGAAATCTACAGTGTGCAGTGTGTTCCATGTTTCCTTTCAACTAAATAAAAAAATTACAGGTTTTGCACTCATTCAAAGCCCATTTGACAAAGACGGGAATGGAACAAAAATATATGTGTGTTCTCTTGGTGAAATAAGATTCATTCAGACTATCCTCCTAGGTGTCCTTTCAGATTCTCTCTTAGCTATACATTTGATCTTCAAAAGACTAAGCGAGAATAGACCCCGTTTGTATTTGGATGGGAAGTCACCTTCAAATCTTAATGGGACCATATGCAAGGATTTACCGATTATTTTTTGTCTGCATAAAATCACATAAATATTGACAGGGTTTTTTTCTTCTTCTTCTGGGTACTGAAACATGTATGAATTTCTTTCTAGAATTTACAGAAGCCTACAACAGAAAAGAGCATTAAAAATGCAAAAAGAAAGTACTGAAAAGCATAAGACATGCTCAGAATAAGAAAAGAGATGGGATAACAAGACGGATTTTAAAACGTGACAGAAGTCCTTTGAACACACATTTGTTATATCGAATTTCAGAGAAGCTGTCTTATTATGGCATTCAAAAAGGAACAGAAACTCTCATAATAAACTCTACTCCTGCTCATCAATTCTTTTGCTTATTCAGTAACCAAGGCATTTATAAATGCAAATACAAGGATTTTTTTTTTTTCACCATTACCTGATCTTCAAAGTTAAATTCATGATCAGGAATCTCTCCTGGGTCCACAACGAGACTAAGGTCAACTTCACATGGACCTAAAAATAAGAAAGGGAATTCTCAAATAAAACAAGCAGGTTTCATTATGATACAATCTCATTATTAATGAGAAAGGTCTAAACGGATATTTTTACTCTCAAACAAGAGAAGACTCCATTTTAAAGTAAGCAATGGGTTTGTTTTGATTCCTAATAGCAATTTCCTAACATAAGGATGTAATCTGTTACTAAAATCTAAAATAAAAACATCTAAAAATAATTCACATTGAATTAACTCCGAATAAAGGTGTACATTATTCAAGATCTAGCTGTATAGAGAAGACGCTAAAGCTGAGAAAGACAAAGAGAAAGAGAAGGGAATGAAGGAAATGAACTCAGTTAAGTGGCAATGAGTACACAGCTGGAAAACTTGAAGGACCAAATAAGGAGCAGATCGTGATGAAGAAAGCCCATTTATGTGATTGCTAAGAGTTAATACTGACTTGATGGCACATAATCTCTCCATCAAACACAATCAGTATTGTGCTCTTAATAATGGAATATTACACATACTTATACTAAGTAAATGTCACTGAGTAAAATGGAACCACCTTTTTTTTATATCAATTTTCCCTTCTTGTGTAAAAAAACAAAAACCAAATAATGCAAAAAAATCTCACTAATATGATATTGGACAGAATCAAAACAACTATGACTCTGTCTTTGTTAAAAAGAGAGAAATCATTTTTCAGGTCTTACTTTTGACTCAGATTTTTGGGTTCTTTTTGTTTTGTTTGCTTGTTTGTTAAATGTCTATGCCTCTCATCTCACCTTCAAGTGACTTTGGGTCACTATTGCCACAATCTGGACATTTCAAAAAGCTGGCCATTTAATTTTCTATAAAAATGAAAATAATTGGACCCTTCTGAAGTCATCTCAGGCTTCATGCATGGCATGTTTTCCAATTCCTGAAGATTGATCTCCAAAACGTTCACATAAAAAAAAGTCTGGAAAACACAGTAGTGGAGCACTTTGTTGTTTTAGCCTTGCCAATGACCTCAGTAGGGTACTGATTGTGTTGCTTAAGACACAAAGTTCTCTTTAAGAATTTTACTCCACAGAAATAGTCTGTATCAGCCAATGCATTCATAAAGACTAAGGGAAGAAATCTCAGCCACTTTCGATGGTGAGCATTGCTTTCCAAGTTGGGGATCTTTCTCAGACTGGTTACTTTCCTTTCAAGCAGCTGAGATTTACTGAATTTTTTAGTTCCTTAAACAAAAAAGAACAGGCATGGAAACAGACCACTTGAAAAAGAATCCCTCTAAGGTTATGGTGAATCATTCAAATCATTTATTTCCTTCCTGTTGCTTTCATCCTTCTGTTGTTCTCCTATTCGAGAAACCATCACCAGCAGTGAGCTTCTTCTAGCCTACTGCTATGTGTCATTCTTGTGGTTGCAGCATGCTGCAGTTGGTTCCCTATGCTGCAGAATGTTTGCAGTCCAAGAATAGGCCAATATAAATAGATATTTGTTTCAGAATTTCTGCATGAAAAAAAGGACTCCCTGAGACCATGTGAGAGAAAGAGGCAGAGCTTCCATTCACCATTTCTTGATCAAAAGTTGATAACTTGTGTGTTACATCTGGTCTATTAACTGGAGTTTCCATATCTCTGTCATTAAGGTTGCTGTTTGAAGTTCAAGTCCTTTTAATGGCAGTACAAAACTTTGTTGAGAATCAGGCCTACACTACGTGTTTTCTCAAGTTAATATCATTCCCATGTTTAAGGCTTTCTCAGCCTTTAACTGGTGGCAGAACCTTCATATCCATAGCTTTGCAGACTGCTGTTCTTTATGAGTTTAGGCCAGGGAGCCTCAGTGGAACATCTGGGCAGCAATGTCTCCATAGATATCTCTCTACTAATTGTCAGGTCCCCTGTTCAATTCTTTTCTTTAATTTTTAAAATAAAGTAGAGTTTCTGGCTGGGAAAAATCTCATAAATTTTCTTCTGATAATGTGGTGAATGTGACTAAATGTAATCATATAGCAGCCACTTTTTAGAAAGTAAGAGTTGACTAGTGTCAGTTGTGTGCCCATGTAAAAGTCAAAAGCTTCTTGTTTGTAGAGTCCCACCAGATTTACGGGAGGTAAGAAAAACTCTACATGACAGCCAAATCTTATACACCACTTTACAATTAATCTTGCTGTATCTTGCCCTTGTTGCAAAACGTGCTCAGAAATATCAGCTCTTGCTTGACCCAAAAAATAAACTAATTAAATATGGCTACCAATAGGAATTATTTTCTTTGAATTTGATTATGGCAAAGATGAGTGATTAGTGAAGATAGACTAGTAAGATTGGTGCACTGATTGGTGCACTGAACTGATAGGATGTTACATCTTTGAATTGGATGTGGCAGTTATACTGGGTCATGTGCTATTTTATTTGCTTTACTTTGGTGTAAACCACCTAGAATCTAATACGTGACAGAAGTTTATAAATAAGTAAATGAATGGAATGGAATGGAATAGAATAGAATAGAATCTGGAAGGGACCTTGGAGGTCTTCTAGTCCAGCCCCCTACTCAAGCAGGAGAACCTATACCATCTCAGACAAATGACTATCTAGTCTCTTCTTAAAAACCTCGAGTGATGGAGCATCCATCATGAATGATGATTACATTTTTGTTTACTGGGTATACTATCTTAAATTAAAAACTGACACTCCAACCTGAGTGGATCAGGTTACAAAGATATACAATGGCTTAAAAGGATTGGGGCTACTTAATTTAGTCTAATTTTCCAAATGAGTAGAGATGACAGCACAACCAATGATTGCCAATCTAATGATTGAGTATATGCATGAACTGGTTAGTGAGATATCACAAATCAGAGTAAAGAAACCTCATGTATGTTTTACATAGTACTGAATTGTCCTTTTACAGAAATCTCCTGTCCTTAATCACATGTGTTAAGGTAACTTGGATTTTAGTAATTCAATCCAACTCTCTTGCCTTCATTCTTCCAACATAGATCAGGTCCTATAAGATGCTATTGCATTAGTCAATTGCAATAGAAAGACAATCCCCTGGTATTAAAGATATTATTTTTCTTAGGCTGACTGTCTTCGGAATATTAGAGGGCCAGTGATACCCATCAACTTCAAACAGTGTCCATTTGAAGCTCTGTTTCCAAAATGATGGCTAAGATTCTCACTGGTGGATTGTCTGGCTGATAACGCCATTGCTACCATTTCTGTTTCTATTTCTCTTTAAAGACAGTGATGAAAATGGGAAGCATCATTGAGTGGAGATTTCACAGAACCCTTTTTCTAAGCCTCTAGATCAGTGTTTCTCAACCTTGACAATTTTAAGGCATGTGGACTTCAACTCCCAGAATTCCACAGCCAGCAATGCTGGCTGTGGAATTCTGGGAGTTGAAGTCCACATGCCTTAAAATTGTCAAGGTTGAGAAACACTGCTCTAGATGTTCCTCCTGCCACCACAATGGCAATGCTTCTATGAATGACAGGATCAACAAGTTCCGAATTTCTAATATTTTTATTTCTAAATGTTTTTCCTGTCCAGCAATATTCTCTTGATAATGTCCTGTTGTTTTTGCTATAGTTGGTAAAGATTTTTGCTACTATAAAACTAAAAGCAGACCAGAGGTTTGTGAAGGTTTGTATACTTTGGTTCTGTTGATAATATTTAAAGAAAGTCTTCAGTTATCCCTTATTTGTCATTGTGAAGTATTTTCTGAGAAAAGGTTGTTTCTTCATATATCATTTTATGATCTGATAAGATACACAGAAACAGTTTGAAAAGTTTTGTGTTATTTATAAGCACAGCATGCTGAGAAGAGCAATTTAAAGGGAGAGTAAACAATTTCTTTTCAAGTAAACAATTGGTTAAGGACAGGCTTGAATATTGTTTTTGCTTTCCGTTATTTCTACTGTAAAAAAAAAAGCAAGTCCCTGAAGTACAGAATTTGAAGGCAAGTTGCTGCTCTTAGCAACAGGTAGATAGCAACCATGCATATAAATATATTGCTGTCCACAAAGGCTGAAAATTGCCTCTATTTTTGCTTCTTTTTAAAACCATTATTGGAATGTAAGTTGAGGAGGCTTTAATAATCCAGTCTTATGCTTGTCAGCCAGAAAGCTAGCATTTCTTTCTCCTGTCAGAAAACAGGATGAAAGACTTACAAGTACAGATCTGTGTGTGAATATTATATTTGTCTGAGAATAGAAGTCGGGATCCGATTGAAAAGGCTACAAAAAACCCTGATTATCACTCTTTAGCTGATCATTGAGAATGTTTGGTTAAAATACCAACATTCTTCCAACTCCTGGACATTTGCATGAATTTTGGAGATTTTTGCACATGGAGTTGTGAAAACACAATAGAGGATGGGATTGTACTGTTTGGTTATCAATGACGGACACTCGCAGACACACAACTTTTATTATACACATTAGACAACTACAACATTACATTATTTTTTGACATAATCACCATTCAAATTGAGGCAGTTGTCCTAACGTCTAACAAGGGGGTTTGTGGTGTTGGTTCACGATAATGCTCGTCCGTAGACCGCTAGACATACCCAAGAACTTTTGAAGTAGCTCCGTTGGGATGTTTTTGATCACCCCCCCCCATAGCCCAGATTTGGCGCCGAGCGACTACTACTAAGGAATTTCAAACCTTGTAAGATGTTATGACAAGTGCCTCAATTTGAATGGCGATTATGTCGAAAAGTAACGTAATGTTGTAGTTTTCTAATGTGTATAACAAGAACTCTGTGTCTGCGAGTGTCTGTCATTGATAACCAAATGGAGGTTTATTTCCGAATCGCCCTCACAATTTGTGCATGCAGCGTCTGCTTCTATAATATCTCATGTGCATTTTTTTCATACGTGTGTAATTATTTTGGGTTTGGCAATACCATCTTTTTCACAAATGTAATGATGTCACAATGTATCCAGAAAAGGGTCCTGTGTTCTAGAATAGGAACAGAGGACACTGCCTTTATACTGAAGTAGACCCTTGTCCACCTAACTCACTGTACTGAATAACATCAGCTCAGTTTGAGGCGCTCCTGGCTATATAAAAATGTTAAGGACTATTTCTTTCATTGTTTTAATGAACAACAGCGTCTCCTTTCACCTTGGGAATCCTGGTGTGTATTCTGCAGACAACAGCCATGGCGTCTGGGTTCAATGTCTTTTGCAATGGAAATGGGAAGAAATGGACTTACTTGGCATTTTTAGTACAACGTTTGCATGATTTTACTTTTTATTACACCATTATGTGCTTGTTCCTGCATTTTTTACTTCTGGTTGCACATGTGATCCAAGAATTCCAAAATGGTCTTCTTCTCCTCCCCAAAGGTGCCTCACTGAATGACTGTCATGATTTACAACCATAATTCTGGACTCAGTTGCGATCATAATTCAGAAACTATATACTGTATATAAGAGCCGTAGTGATGCAGAAGTCAAAATGCAGTATTGCAGGCTAGTTCTGCTGACTGCCGGCAGTTCAATTCTGAACTACTCAAGGTTGACTTAGCCTTCCATCCTTCCAAAGTCAGTAAAATGTGGACCCGAATTGTTAGGGGCAATATGTTGTAAACCGCTTAGAGAGGGCTGTAAAGCACTAGGAAGCAGTATATAACTCTAAGTGCTATTGCTATAAGAAAAAAACAAATATCTAGAGGAAGAGCACTATTTCTAGTAATTATAATAATTGATTAGCCTGGGCAAGTCTATTAAGAGAGACACGTCTAACTTTGAAAAAGTAATAGACCGTGCATGTCTCTTCTTTTTCAGGAGATAAATCTGGGATCTAAAAGTTTGAAACAGAAGGGAACTTTTATAGCTCCAAAGTACTAACTGCTATCAATCAGGGAGCTGGATGAAGAAAAACTAATCAATATATAATGAAGATTAGAGAAAAGTATTCTTGGGCAGCCAAAAGGAGATTCATGAAATGCTTAACCACAATTAATATTATTATCAAAGAAAAGATAATAATCTAAATAATTTACTTTTTCCGGGAAGCTGGAATGAAATGGAACAAAACTTACAAAACAAGACCATTTAATTTTGCTTTCAACCTAGCCTTAGCCTCTGATCTCTAGGAAACACTGAGTAAAACCTCAATTTAAGGGAAGAATGTTTGTTATTCCTGAATGACAGCCAAATCACAAATTATGTCATTTGCAGTTATTTAATTTGTGCAATGTCATAATTACAAAAATGATGCAAATTACATCATTTGCAGCAAATTGAGTCATTGCATAATTAATATCACCCTCATACAAATGATATAATCCAATAAGACTGGCTTCATTTATGTAATGACATCACAGGTGGGAAATAAAGCAAGCATGAGAATTGCTTAATGGTGGCACACATTCGATTATTCATTTAAACACTGGAAACCTTTCCAATTTTTAAATAAATACCAGCATTGCATTTAAATAAATGCAAACGAAGATCCAGTCAGGACTGGTGATGTTGCTGAACTGCTTATAATCTTGCAGAACATATTCTGATATTTCTAACCATGATGATTTGGCATGTACTGGCAGAGTAACTACTTATAATCCTTGTAAGTAAGAATAATGTCTCTTCTTTTTTTTTAAAAAAAAAAAAGTCTTGAATTAGAGACTTTTTAGAGACTTGAATATTTCAAGTTCCTGTGATTGCTCATTTCTTTTGTTTTGGGATAGACATCTGGCTGCCCAATCATAGATATACTTAAATTCTGAATTTCTCTACTTTTTTTTTTTAACGGAAAGAACAATCACTTCCCATTAGCGAAGACTTTTTAAAAGGCCTTTCTTCTCCAGTTTGTCAGTCATGGCTACAAACTGCTCGTTCACTGGCTAAAAACATTGAAAAGCAGAAACAAAATGGAACAAAACATTCTTGCAAAATGAGCAGACTGACAAAATGATGATACACTTTGCTTGATAGGGACTCATGTTGTGCTTTTGTTTTTTTAAATGAACACTGATAATTGGGCAGTGTGGCTTTTCAGGGAACATATGTCACTTCTCTCCCTTGGAGACAACATTGATGACCCTCCTCTCTCAGCCAGTTGTAGATGCAAAGAGTTGGAGGGACCCTCAAAAGATATTTATGGAATAACTTGGGGCTGAAAGGATTCCAAACACAGAAGCAAAAGACCTTGGCCTTTGCATCTTTTCAAATACTGTAGACATTAAATCTTACTCACCCTAATATACCAATGCATTGCTTATTTATTGATGTGCTTTAGATTTTTTAGGCTATTTTTCTATTCAGAAAGAAAATGCTAGGAGCTATACACCATAAAATAATGCCAGCACAGAATTTAAAACATTTAAAAAGGTAAAAATCAGAAATTCTGTTTAAATCCAAGTAAGCATTTCTCTGTAGTTATTTATTTATGTTCAGGCAGTCTTATTAAATGTGATGAAAATGTATACCACATTCTACACATTAAATTTTGTACCTTAAAAGAGAGAAAATAAGTTTGAAGGGATGCCCCATGATGAGAGAACACGGGTTACGTGCCCATCCTGATATCCAACAGAGAAGTAATTCACACTACCACCACCACTCTGTTGCTTATGGATTATATGTGTGATGATCATTGATACATGGAACTATTGCGTAATACTATTGTATAACATAGCTTAGGACCAAGTTATTTGAACGTTGGTCTTTTCCTAGTTAAATCTATCAGACCCACCAGAGCAAGGAGGCAAGGTATGTTACAAGTCTCCTCTCTTAAGAAGGTCCATAGAGTGGGACCAAGAAAAAGGGTCTTCTCCATGATGGCTCCTCCTGTCAAACATTATCTCCATGGAGATAATATTGGCTCCCATTTTGATACTCTTTCAAAAGGCCCTGAAGATATGGTTTTGCCAACGAGCCCATGGTGATACTGAGTCCATCAAGTGGTTTGTTTGACTGTTGTCACCAGGGGTATGTGGGTTTATTGGATTTTGTATTGGGGGTCTATTTCTATAGGCTGGCTGGAATCACCATGGGTGAGTTGGGTAGTCGTATACATTTTCTTAATAAATAAATAAATAATATTATTATACATTATGGTCACTACATACATCATAAAATGTACTCTTTACATAGTTCATTAATGCTCACTTAAAAATTTTAAATCACATGTGAAATAACATATATAGATGTTCTGTACATGAAATAAGTATAAAACAATACATGCGGAATTACTCCAAGCATGTATTACTGAATACATTATACATTAGCAATCACAACTGGGATTGGCTACTTGGTGATTAAGCAAAGTGGTTGCTTATGATTCTTACTTTAGCTTTCCTTTTTTTATAGATCTGCAAGAGTTGTAAATGCAAGGGTTGATTGTAAAGTTACTTTTCCATCAACATCATAACTGTGAACAGTTGCTAGGCAAGGCAGTCACTAAACAAGCACTACATGTATTTCACTATTCTATTTAGGATTTAATACTCACTTGGCCCTGGTTCTTGAGTGGGAAACAGCTTATTGTCAACAGCCAGGCTTATGTTGCGGAAGACCTCTTCCTCATCTTTGTCAGCATCCAACTAAGAACAAAAAAGAAAACAATCAGACACCTGGAAGAAGACAAAGTAGCAAAACAAGCCCAATGGATGGAGCCAGGGGTTCTCATCTTATGTTGTAGAATGTTAGTGCCGCTAAGAATGCCCAGACAATTTGGGATGGCAATGGGTTATAGAATGCTGTTGTTATAAATATCTGATATGGGAACAATTGTATCTGAAAAGCTAGTAATATTGATAATATTTATAAGGGTGCAGCATTTCAGAATGTAAGGGTCAAAGTACTTCAGAGTGCTAGAATAAGACATATACAGCTAGTCCTTGACTTACAAGAGTTCATTTAGTGACCATTCAACATTACAACAGAACTGAAAAAAAGCGACTCATGATCATTGTTCACACTTATGACCACTGCAACATCCCCATGGTCATGTGATTTACATTCGGATGCTTGACAACTGGTTCATATTTATGATGGTTGCAGTGTCCTGGGGTCATCTGATCACCTTTTGAGACCTTCAGACAAGCAATGAGAAAGCCATATACACTTAACAACAGTGTTACTCATTTAACAACTACAGTGATTCACTTAGCATGAAAAGTCCTAAAACGGGGCAAAGCAAATTTCTTACTTAGCAATTTAAATTTTAGGCTCAGTTGTGGTCATAATTCGAGATCTACCTGTAGTTCCTACCTGTAATTCCTTAAATAAGGAAGTATTGGAGACAGAAAAGAGGAGGAGGATATTAAAAAGTGACAATATTTTATTGTCTAAAAACCTGGTGCCTTTTGCCCAAGCTCTGTTGTTAATCGTGCTTATGGAAATGTTCTTTCTGTGTAAGGTCTAGTTATTTTATATCAATTTAAGCACTGAGGAGAGAAAACAAGTATTGTAAAATGCTCTTAACTGCAAATTGGCCTAGTCTTGTTTAACAAACACAACAACGCTTTGATTTTTACTTTCTTCCTATCACATTTTATAAGAAGACACAGTAATTGCACAGATTGCTTATCTGTTTTTGTTCTTTGGTAAGACTCAACAAAACGATCTATCAACTGAAATTAACCGTTCGTGAGAAAACAACAGCAAGAACCAACAGTTTAAGAGACTCTCAATACCAATTTAAGACTAGTTCCACCAATGCAGATGAAGAGATCATTGGTCAGCAGCGAGGACCCTAATAGAACAATAAAATTCCTATTCTAAATATCCACATTAAAAGCCAATGTTTCCTGCCCCTCAGGACTGAAAAGGAAGAGTAGAATGATAGATGAAGTCTTGGACAAACTCTGCCACACAGAGATGGCCCAAAATGTTTTGTCCCCCCCCCCCCGCAGTGTTAAATCAGCACCTTGGCTTACTAGGGAGCTGGGAGAAATGAACAGCGTAGGGAGAGCCCTAGGCCAGAAGTGGTAGAATTTTCAGGAAGAATTAGAACAGAGTCCATCTCTGAAACCCTATTCTGTGGCAGTAGACACAACAAAGATGGTTTCTTCCCCCAGCAATACTTTTTTTGTACTGTGTCTCATCTTCTTCAACAGGAAGTTCAGTTGGAACAGTTCAGTTGAAGGCTCACACTGCTCTTTGCAAAGTTGATCAGATTCACCTGAAGATGGACTTTATTTCAGGCAGTGGGGTGGCATCAAACAGGGATAAACTACTTGTCCTATTTGTGTGGATGTTATTCAATTTTTAATCTCAAGTTGTTTTTGCCTGACTGTTTAAATTGGCCAAGCTGACTGGTTCTGTGTTTAAGGAAGATGAGGCTTCCTTGAGCAGGGGAGGAAGGAGATCTTCCTTGACCCAGAAAATTTCTGGGATTGTACACCAGTTCCAAGTATTTCATTCTAAGCTATATTGATCAGGGAACTGGTAGTTCTTAGGTTCCAAGTACATTTGGATTAAACTGATTATTTAGATCAATTTCAACCAAGTTGTCATCAAGAACATGATGCAGAAACCTCACTCTGTGGGTGATCTGCATTAGAAAGTAAATAGGGATGCAACTGTTTGATCCTCTTCTTAGCAGCTTCTGATCTCATTAATTATGATATCATTCTTGGTTGTTTGATGACGGTGGGTCTTTTGAGGCTTTGGTCCTTTGCATATGGTAGTGCCCAGAGATGCATGTAGTTTATGGCTAGTGGATTACCTGAAACCCTTCCTGAGCCAATCATCCTAGGTGAAGTTTACCCATGATTTAGTTACAGCTTGGTTTGACTATTGCTATGACACTTTCAAAGGCTATGAAAACTATCTCAAAAGTGTATGCCATGTAAAATGCAGCAGCCATGTTGCAAGATGTCTCCACTGCCAAAGGTAGGAAGGAGAAAGCATTATTTTATTAGAAAGTAGTATTTTATTATGCAATGCTCGCTTCAGGAAGGTATTCTTGATTATGTACTCTCAGTATTCAGGAGAATAGCAAAAACATATACAGATCTCTTGCCAAGTTTTGATGGACCTTAAATCATTATTTTAATTTTAATTGCATCAACTTCAAAAGTTACGTTTTATATTTTGCATTTTGTTTAAATTCACACCGAGTGCCCAAAGAGTGTTTAAAATAAACAAAATGATAGGCGTTCACATTTTTTTACTAAATAAGCAAATAAGCCAAAGAACCAGTAGAGGTTCATATATTTATGGGGGGGGGAATAAAATGTACACGGAAAGCTATAAAACTTGGAAACAAAATGAACCCAGTAGAAGAAAAACTGTATTTCACAGTGGCATGCATGTTCATAGTTCCTATAATTAAAGTCTTTGAAATATTACAAAAATCCGTCCTTTTAAAGATGACATTTTAATGAACTGAAAACTTCTTTTGAAAATTGTAGATTAGATCTGATTCAAAATGATAAGACATCTGCTTCTTTGCTTTTATCATTCCTTCATTAGCCTTCTTAGCTGAAGCCATAATCACATCTCATGTCAAAAGTTCTGTACATTAATTAGACAAAATGTATTTTCTAGAGTTTTAATAAACTGAGGCACATCACATCGGATTATAAAATTACCTATACATTCTTGGTTCAAATCAGTAGGATAAGAGTCAGTACAGCATACTGAGCTTATGAATAGATTGCAGGATTGTTTTTGTTCAATTTGTATTGATTTGTTGTTATTGTTGTTAATTGCGAAGTCGTGTCCGACCCATCGCGACCCCATGGACAATGTTCCTCCAGGTCTTCCTGTCCTCTACCATTTTCTGCAGTCCATTTAAGTTCACACCTACTGCTTCAGTGACTCCATCCAGCCATCTCATTCTCTGTCGTCCCCTTCTTCTATTGCCCTCAATCTTTCCCAGCATTAGGCCCTTCTCCAGTGAGTCCTTCCTTCTCATTAGGTGGCCAAAGTATTTGAGTTTCAACTTCAGGATCTGGCCTTCTAAAGAGCAGTCGGGGTTGATCTCTTCAAGGACTGACCGGTTTGAACGCCTTGCAGTCCAAGGGACTCGCAGGAGTCTTCTCAAGCACCATAGTTCAAAGGCCTCAATTCTCTGGCGCTCAGCCTTTCTTATGGTCCAACTTTCACAACCATACATTGCAACTGGGAAAACCATGGCCTGGACTATACACACTTTTGTTGGCAGGCTGATGTCTCTGCTTTTTAGTATGCTGTCTAGATTTGCCATAGCTTTCCTCCCCAGGAGCAAGCGTCTTTTAATTTCTTGGTTATATATTGATTATAGGGAGGATTTTTCTCCCTTTTGAGACAGTCTTAACTGGCAATTACATGGATTTTCATGACAACATTTTTCAAAGGTGATGGAGTGGCTGAGAGTCATTCATTTAGCTTTGTGGCTAAGGCAGGCTAGTGGTGGCTAATTGGTGCCTTTAGCCACTATTCCAAACTGGTGCTCACAGATGTCATTACATATAAAATGTAGTCATGTTGAGAAAGCACATCTGCTTTTCTTACAAAAAGTACATTTGTTGATGCAAATATAGAAATACTTGTTTACAGTACTCAAACATATTCATTGCTCGCTACTTACCTACTCATCGTAATGATCACATATTCTCATTCTGGATACATAATCTAGCCAAATAAAAGGCTCTATAAAAATAATTATCTATCAAGTAGGCAGGTAAAATTTGAAGCTAGCATGCTGAGCGAGATGTGATACTTATATTTTAAAACAGAAAGGAGACATAGGGAAAAAACATAAGGGTTGCTAAAATGAACATCTCAGTTTACTGGAAAATATTCCTTTACTATCAATGAATGTATTGCCAAGGACTTATATTTACCCAACTGTAAACAAATGGATATATTATCAAAAAGAACCTGAATATTAAATGTTTTGGGGCAATGTTGAAAAGGAGTGTAAAATATATTCTGTTTTTACATTTAGATTTTAATGACAACAGCAAATACATAAATCTGACTCTATTTTACTACCAAGAAAGTAAGAGTTAGGCACACTGCAATGAATAAACTTCCAAATGGCTAAATTCAATGTTTTCCCCACTAATATCTTATCAAATGTTTTATATTTCAAATATAATTAGAGTAAGAAAGATCTGATTATATATGCCAACAGGATATTATATCTGGATACAAATACAGATTAAAAAGAAAACAACTGCTTAATAAAGGAAGAAATCCATCATGGCTAATGTTTTGCAAAAAACATAATTATGTATAAGATAAGGACAGCACTAATATATAAATATTTAGAAGTAAATTATACTGAATATGGGATTTTGGTTTTAGGGAAGTATAAGTCAGCAGAAATCTGGTCTGGGCCAGTATAGGATGTCAGGAACTGGACAATGCTGCTTCAGCTGATCATACCTATTAATATTCATTAAAACAATGAAAAATTGTTGCACTGTTCTTTTTCAAACTAGCTGCTGAATAAGCCTGCTTATACACACACACATCTTTAAAAAAACCTGAGAAAAAAATTGCTGTGTTTAATTGGAAGTTTATTCACTGCAAGTTTAAAATGTGACTAATGAGAAGGTTTGCATTATGAAGAGGGGATGACTAATTAGGAGGATGTACAAACTGA